GTTCTACAAGAATCACTCAAAAGCAAACAAGTTGCAGCTCCTCGTACAACTTATTGTACACTGGTATCATTTAATCTTTGATTGAGAGGCCTGTGTCAAATTAGCATAGTCAAACTGTTAGGTACCAATTTCATTAACAGAAAAATTAGTGTCAACCAAAAATATATGTGCAAATGGCCAGTGTCATGGGAAGGATGTGCTGCTGAAAGCTTTTCTCATATCATGTTAGAACAGAGTCTGGTACACAAATCAACTCTTAGAATTACTGTATGTAATCTTCCTTAAGTTTTTGGATGTGGTCAAATGGAATATCTGTTGTTATTTGAACTATTTAGCTGAATCCCCTCACATTTTACATCCCTGAAGTGGTATCCCAATTTGATTTGTAAGTATTCTCCATCTTTCTAATACTACAGATATTCATCTTTACATTTATGTCTTTCTTGAACTTGGGAGCAGAATTCTTTAGTGCAGTACCACCTATCTTTCCAACTATGAATTTTAAATGAATGTATAGAAAGGGATACAATACAGTACTAAGGATTTAGCTGTTCCAATGATATTTAGTGTAATGCACATCTTAGGCCCCTTTCTGAATTAATTTTCCATGCGCTGCTATGAATAGACATGGACAAGACAACTTCCCACATGCTGTGCACTTGGCTATCCATGGTGTGGTATGTAGTGAGATGTGCTTCTTAGAGAATGACTGATGCTTAGTCCTGAACTCAGAGCCTCATATTTCCTGAGCATGCACAATGCCATTAAACTATTTAGTCCCCCCCCCCCCCCCCGCCGCTCCTATTTTTGTGTTTTATTTTTATGTGCTTGGGTGTTTTGTCTGCATGTGTATGTCTGTTGAAGGGTGTTGGATCCTCTGGAACTGGAGTAACAGACAGTTGTGAGCTGCCATGTGGGTGCTGGAAATCGATCCTGGGTCATCTCAGGAAACAGTGAGTGCTCTTAACCATTGCGCCATCTCTCCAGTCTTTGTACCCAGTTCTTCACTTTCTAAGCATTAGTAATTGTATATATTTTTAAAGTACCATGTGTACTGATGAATTATGGCCAGTGAGCCTATCTATCACCTACTTTGCCTATCAGTTTTATGTGGAGGTAATATCTGTAATTTGTAGCTATCACTGAAATGTGGAGTTAAAATCTAAGTGGTATTTATTGTTATTTTCATATCCCAGAATTTACTGTTATTTTGAGTAGGGTGTTTTTTTATGTTCGTTTTTTTTTTTTTAGCAGATTTTAGTATGTGAATAATATCACATCTAATAACCTGCACAATCTGTCTTTGAATGCTAAGAAATACAGGTTCTGGCCACTAATATTTCATATGTCTCTATAATGTGGCTGATTTCGTGTCTATTTGAATTGTTCTTTAATGAATAAGACCAATTCCCATGCTGTGCTTGATAGTTTCAGTTTAGTGTACGTCATTGAATATTGATCAATCTACTTAATTTCAAAAGTTCCTTTCTATGGATAGTCTTAAACATTTCTCGTTCAGAAACTGGCTTCTCCTGGTGATTTAGTACTGTCCTTTCTTGCCAGCTTCTTTCCTATTTACAGTTTAAGTAATGAAAATGTATTCCCCAGAAACTTTTGCTAGTGGGATCAGGTGCCTAATTGGATCAGATCAGGTGCCTATTGCTTTAAATTTCTTCCTCCTTCCATCACTCCGAAAGACAGCCTCTTATTAAAGGTTGCTTTCATGGAGTGTAACCTGACTTAGTTGTGTGAGTATATTTCATATATTTGCAGGGTTTCTTTGATCAATAAGCCATTAGGTAAAAATCACTGTGTTCACAGTGGCATGGTTTTAACTGTGTGAAAATGATTTATGTAAATATTCAACAGGATCAGAAGATTAGCTGAAGTTTGGAAAGAGACCTAAAAATTTGCATTTGACACTTGGTGTACTAGACTTTCTTTGATTAAAAACTCTGGGTTTATGAGTATTTGTCTCCATACTATTTAATTCTGCTAATCTTCTCACTCTTCAAAGGAATCAAACATTTATAGGAGATGGATCTCACAAATGTCCTATTTGTATATTGTATTTTGATCTGCTACCATTTGGTGTCACTGTAGGGCAGGGCTTTTAAACCTTGTGAAGTAGAGGCCTTTTATTACTATTATTATTTCTGCTGTAAAATGTTGCATAAAGTCCATATATAGCTCACTGTATTAAAATGTTAGTCTGAAATAAACC